CGACTTTTGTTTTGGATCTTACCCAGTCGTTCCTCTTTTTATCTGACAGTCGTATACGTAACATTGCTCTTTCCATTGTTCTTTCTGTTGTGGCTAGTTTATTCATGTTTGCCTTGGTTAGGGTCCAGGTTTGACATCCATATGTCATGATAGGAAGGATGCATTGGTTGAACACTTTGCTCCTCAAGTATTGGGGTATTTTGCGGCTCTTAAGTATCCAACTAAGTTTTCTAAATCCTGCCCATGCTAGTCTTGCTCTTCTAGTAATTTCCGCACTTTGGTTCTCTTTGTCAAGTCTCAGGATTTGACCTAGGTAGATATATTCCTAGATTTGTTCTATCTCACTGCCGCTTATAGTTATATGTCTGGGGTCTTCTGTGTTTGTCATTATTTTTGTTTTTTTCATATTCATTTTTAGGCCGACGTATTGGGAGCTGGCTGCTAGTTCCCTCAACAGAATTTGCAGTTCCTCGAATGTGTTCGCTATAATCACTATGTCGTCAGCGAATCTGAGGTGGTTTAACTTGTTGCCATTAACGTTAATGCCATAGGTTGACCAATTTGTAGTTTTGAAGACGTCTTCTAGGGCTAGGTTGAAAAGCTTTGGCGATATTACGTCTCCTTGTCTCACTCCTCTCTTAATGGGGATGGGATTTGTATTTTCGTCTAGTTGTACTATCATAGTTGCATTTTCATATATATTATGTATTAGTTGCCTATATCTCAAGTCTATTATACAATTATTAATAGCTTGTCTATCAAAAATACTATCAAATACTACCAAACGCCTTTTCATAGTCGACGAAGGCAAGACGGGTAGTTGGTATTCATTTGCCTTCTCTATTAATGTTCTCATTGTCAGCAGATGGTCTGATGTACTATATCCTTTGCGCAAGCCAGCCTGTTCAACCGGTTGGTAATTATCCATTTTGTAGGTTAACCGGTTATTAATAATTCTCATAAATAGTTTGTATACTTAACTGAGCAACGATATAGGTCTATAATTCTGTAGATCACATTTGTCCCCTTTTTTGTGTAAGAGTATTACTAGACTCTCGTTCCAGTCTTTAGGGATCTGGCTATTATGGAGACATCTATTAAATAGCTCTGTTAGTACAGGGATTGTTAATGCTTGCTTGTTTTCAAGAGCTCGGCAATTATACCGTCGTGTCCTGGAGCTTTATTATTTTTTAGTTCTTTTAAAGCTCTTTCTATTTCGTATCCCTTTATAGGTAGTACTTCTGATCCCACGTTTTTTATTTTTCTTTTGACGTTCTCCTTTGTTGTTTCATTAGGCTGGCCTTGCGAGCTGTACAAGGATGTGTAGAAGTCTTCGACAATATTTGTTATTTTATATTTGTCCTTCTTTACCTTATTGTTAGCGTCTTTAATTTTGATGATTTTTTGAACTCCCAGTGCGGGTCTTAGACATTTTAAGCCTCTGTTGTTTTCAATGACTCGCTCTATTAAATTCTTGTTCTATTTTTGTATGTCGCGTTTTAGTTCTTTTCTAATTGTTTTATTAAGTTCAGAAGATCGTGTACAGATCCAATGTTCGTTATAAACCAAATTACTAAGAAATCACTAAAGTATTATAATAGACGAGCATTTCTATGTCTGATTGACCTAAAGAAAAATTTCAAAATCAAGACGAATTAGAGAAGGAAGAATGCTAGCAATTTGGCATAATTTGGTTACATTCATACCTGAAAATCGAAGACAATTTTGGCAGAGCCTTCCCGTAAATGATGCAGCCGCTGGTTTAAGATTAGAGTTTGATGATGTTTAATAAATGGGTTTTGTGTTTTTGTAATAATTATTAGTCTGTTTTGACTAATTATTTGTTGTTCAACAAAATGTAGAATTAAGTCTAATGATGTTATAAGAAAGGTTTTAAGTAATAATGTTAATCAAACGAAATGATTTTTGTTGTTACCGTGCTTTCCATTGAAGAATTATGACACTAAAAAGCAGTAACCCCAAACTAATTATTGGAGTTGCTTCTTTTTCATGTAATTCACTCATACCAGTTGTAATAATATACCTTACTTAAAAGCAGTATCTGCCGTTTTTATTAAAATTTATAAAAATATCTTATAAAAAATCAACGTATTCAATGATATGCAAAATAACTAAAATACAGTTAAACACAAGGAGGACAAGGAAGGAGCCTCCACGAGATCAATAGTGCCACATCAACTACAAAGTAAACACTATTGACGGCGTCCCCTGGAAACGTTTTAGTAGATGATTAATCCTTTCAACACGGGACCAAACCAAATTAGATGGCAAACATCAAGCCACAACGGTTCTTCTCAGAGCCAACACTGACAGTAGCGAGCATAAATATCGAAGGCATCACTACAGCCAAACAAGACATCTTATCAGAATTCTGCAAGAACACGAAATGTAAAGTATTGTGTATCCAGGAAACCCACAGAGATTTAACTTCAGCGAGACCGAAAGTCTCCGGTATGAAACTGATTGCGGAGATAGCACACAATAAGCATGAGAGCGCAATATTTGTGAGAACTCAAACCATAGTCTCATCTGTGGGAACAACAAATGTACACGGTATATAGATAATAACCACTAAGATCGGAAAATGCACAATAACCTACAAACCAGCCTTTTATATTTTCACCCCCAACTAACTTCAAATCACAACCTAATCAGTTTGTTCTGGGAGACTTTAATAGTCACAGTTTACTCTGGGACTATGCAGATTCTGACGCAAATGGAGACGCAGTAGAAGTATGGGCCGAAACGAGTGGCCTCACGTTAATCCATGATCCTAAACTTCCACCATCTTTTCAAAACAAAGTTTGGAAAAGAGGATATAACCCGGATATGTTTTTGAAGAAACAACCTCGAAGACCGATGTACCAAAGTAGTATATGGCCCCATACCAAAAACTCAGCATAGACCAATTGGTATAAATATCTTTCCAACTGTCCGGCCACAAGCTATTCCATTCAGAAGGAGATTTAACTTCAAAAAGGCAAACTGACAAAAGTGTGCAGACATGCTAGATTCTGAGCTGCTACGTCTTGAACCAAAAGTAGAGAACTACGAAAAAGTTGTAGAGGTACTCAAAAATATGTCTAAAAAACTATGTTCCCATGTATGTAGACAACAATATGTTCCCGGGATGTCCAGCGAATTAGTAGTCCAAAGGAGAACATACGAAACCTTCTATTCCACTGACCCTTTTAGCCAAGAAACGGTTGACTGCGAAGCAGTACTACTTCAACAGCTAAGTCAAGCCAGACAGGAAAAGTGTATTGAGACCCTGGAAGAAATGGATATGACACATAGTAGCAAAATAGCATGGAAACTTGTAAAAAAACTTAGCAGCGATCCAAAAGAACATAAACCACCTTGCAAGGTTACAGCAAACCAAGTCGCTGCTCGACTCCTTATAAAAATGGGAAGTGTTTTAGCACCAATGCTCTTTAATATATACACAAACGATCAACCGACACCGATCGAAACCAAGCACTTCCTCTATGCTGACGATCTTGCAATATGTGCTCAAGGAAATAGTTGAAAATTAGAAAAAGTGGAGGAGAAACTGGAAACTGACTTAAAAAGAATGACAACGTACTACCTGCAGAATTCCCTGAGACCCAATCCCTCTAAAACCCAAGTCTGTGCTTTCCACCTTCGCGCAAAGGAAGCCAAGCGAAAACTCCAAATTGTGTGGAATGGTAATACACACAAACCAACCTATATATCTTGGAGTAACTCTGGACCGGTCCCTCACCTGCAGACAACATTGCATAAAAACGAGAGGGAAGTAACAACTAGGAACATCATACTCAGAAAGCTCACGGGAAGTAAATGGGGCGCCCGTCCTGGCGTTTTGAGAAGAACGGCACAGGCACTGTGTTTGTCAACTGCTGAATATGTGTGCCCCGTTTGTGGCAGATCTGCCCACACCAAACAAGTTGATACTGCGCTAAATGAGACATGCAGGATAGTAACGGGGTGCATGAAACCAACGCCACTAGCAAATCTATATAAAGCAGCGGGTTTTTCAGAACCCTCAACACGCAGAGGCGTTGCAGAGCACATAGAGAAAATTAAACAGATCGCGGACGAGCAGCATACCCTATACAAAGCTCGAACACCACGAAAGCGACTAAAATCTAGGAAAAGTTTCCTTGGAACAGCGCAGGATGAACCGCCTGAGTATTTTCCTCTTCCCCAGGTTCAATGGACCGGCCAGTCTCTAGATTTTAAAACCTGGAAAACTATGAATAGGATAAGAACGGGGGTCGCTCCAGTAAAATCAAACATGGCAAAATGGGGAAAATTCGACCAGAATGATGTGAACTGTGACTGTGAAAAAACACAGTCACAGTACAAATATGGAACATCTTCTTACATGCAGAAACTGTCCTCGAAGATTTGTGGTTCGCCAACAAAGATGGAACCGACCTACCCGATACTGGGACGAAATTTTATGAATGACATGTTCGGACACGATAAAGTAAAGTAAAATAAGTACAGATAAACAATTCCGGAATCCATAAATATTTTTATAGTGGCTTAGCCCTGTTCATTAAAATCTGCATTATCTGAAAACTTATATTTTTGTAGATTAATTTTTTCCTGTTGTATATAATTCATTTTCCCTTTTTAATTAAATGTTAAGTAAAACTGATTTATTTTAATCAGTAAGTTTGTCACATTTTTTTCAAATTTTTGTTTTAATAGTTTATAATTGTCTCATTTCAGAGAACCACAAGCCGTAGGTAAAGATTGTGCAGATGATGAGCTGGCTGGAAGTGTTAGCTCAAGCGGTAGATGTTAGTAATTATTAAATATTAAACCTCCGTATTTATTCAGTTGTTCAAGTACTTAAAAAAATAGATTTCAAACCTAATTTGATATATGCAGTGATATAATAGAAAAACTAGTATTACCAAATTTTACAAATGTGAACCTATACTGCCCGAATTTGTCATGTTATTAGTAATTTATTAAAAACTCACTTGTTTTTGGACATCCAGAACATTGTAGCAACTCCAAAACCAGTAGAAATATTTAAGTGAGATTCTGGGACGGGAAGCGTAGCCAAAAAGGCGGGATCGCATCTATTGTCTTGCCAAGTATACAGAGCTGAGACTCTATCTTGTAGAACGTCGTATCTAACGGAAGTATCTTTTTCCACAATGTCCCAGGATTTTCTTTCGTCGTCGTTTTTCCAAAACATTACGCCATGCATTTGTCCGCATATTCCTATTTTTGTTACCTACAGATTTCATTAGAAGAAGAAAATCATAATAAATTACTATTTACTAATAAAAATAGAGTTGCTAACACCAATATAGAGTATATCGTCTAAAAAATTTGCATCTATTATACTGATTTTCGAAGTTATAACATTCCTATAGAGTGAATCTAATGATAGATGACTTTCCTATGTTGTTATAGTAATCGACTATTTAAAAACTAGAAAATAGAATAACAGTAAACTACAATAAATGGACAATAGCACTTTTAGTTGTAATTATTCACTTGTGTTATTATTACTTTTTTATTCTTTTCAAATTTCCTATGTACACAGGACTTATGTACCACTTCAAATAAATATTTGTATGTTCCAACTAAACTACAAAAATTGTTTAAAATTAGTTGCAAAGTATCTAACTTTATATATAGTTGAAAAGAAATATTTGAAAGGATATTAAGAGATCATCAATGCTGTGTTTGACCATTTGACCAAATCTAGCATTTAAAAATAAATATTTGCAATAAAATTGTGCGTATATATATATATATATATATATATATATATATATATATATATATATATATATATAGTAAACTCTTAAAAATTGGGGAAATCAGCAAGAAAGGCTCTAATGAGTAATTGTTTCGCCGAAGGTTTTCGCCAAAGAGAATTAATTTGGCTTCTTAAGGGCTGAAAGAGAAAAAAATATAATTAGCTACCATACATTATCTATTAAAAAACATTATTGATCTTACCGTAACTTGTACCGAATTGTAGAGTTAAAATTTTAAAAAACTTAGCTAGTAACAACATAGTGGTGTTTTTGTTACTATGTGCAAAAAAAGTTTTTTTAACGTTGGAAATGTATGGTAGCTAAAGGTTTACCCAAGCTTATTCGAAAAACCCAATGTAACTACATTTAAAAGAAAGTAATTCTTTGAATTGTCGGCAATAACTAAATTTTTGATTGTTAGAAAGTTTAAATGTGAGGTCCTGTTTTATCAGAACGCATGTGGTGACAATTCAAATAATACTTTTGAATCTTTGTGTCGTAAGGTTCATTGGTAAAACCGAATGAAGTTAAATCCCAGTTTAGGGAAATATTATTTTAGATTTTCTTAATTGAATTTTTTTTATTAATTATATTATATTGTTCATGTATTATTATAATATCTAAGAAAAGTAAGGGAATGTTATCCTTTTTAGTTAATGAAAATTATTATTAAAGTAGGTTAGTTGTTAATGGATATATCAGTCAAGTTAGTTATCTGTGATGTTGTATTGTTCTTGGTAAGTATCTGATTTAAGTAAGAAGTAGTATATATCGCTAGATTATTAATGTCACTCTTAACATTGATGGAGAAATCGTTAAGGAAAATATAAGACATTTCAATGAACTCTCTTTTAGATTTATTGTTCTCACGGTGGAGAATTGTAGTGTTAGTATAGTCTCTGAGATGACCAGTGGAATGGACATGTTTGGCGAATGCACAGCGGTCAGGGTGAAGTCGAGAATCATTTTGTGTAGTGTAGTACGTGATTTCAATAATTGAGATGTTTGGCCGATGTAGGAATTGCTACAAGAGAGGCATGGAATATTGTAGACAATGTTACTAAGCCTATCTAGGGGAGTCTTATCTTTTATCTTAGAATAAAGATTATAAATTTTTAGGGCTGATCTACAAGCCACTTTAAGTTTTATGTTGGTATTATTATTACCAAAGCTATTTTCAACACTTTTCAGAATCCTTGTTAACCCCGGAGTGATATCTCTGAAATATGGTAATGAAAAATATTTATTGATAGGAGTATCCGAGGTGAAGGTGAAGTATCTTCATTATGGATAGTATTAAATAAAATCTTATTCACTAATGGCGTTTGAAATAAAAAGTTTCTGTAGGATTTGTAGGTTTTTTTGTATGAAATGAAGGATCTGATAGTTTTATTACTCTATTTTTCATCTGTTTCATTAAGTTGACTTTGGTAGAATTATTATGGTAAGAGTGGTAGTTAAGGTATCTACCAGAATGGGTCGGTTTTTGATACCAATCTATTTTAATGTTGCTGTTTTCCCTGATCATCCTTATGTCGAGAAAGAGGACGGACCAATTACCATCTTCTCTCTCTACAGTGAACTGGATTTAGGGGTCATAACTATTAAACGTATCTAATAGTTCATCTACCTTGTACATATTTTTTAATAAATGGAATTTGAAAGGATAGTAAAGGAATAACTGAGTCTAATACATAATCCATAACGTAAGTTGCAATGATAGGAGAAATCTTTGCTCCCATAGGGGTACCGAAAGTTTGTTGATAGAATTTACCATTAAATGAGAAGTAAGTGTTGTTAAAAAAAATTCGACGATGCTGATGAATCTGTCATAAGACATGGAACAACAACCTCTAATACGGTCTCACTTGATCTCGATTGATGTCAAACATATTCCTAGATGAACGTTGCTGAATAACATGGTAATTGACATCAATAGAGAAAATAGATTGGTATCAAATAGTAACAAAAAACACCACTATGTTGTTACTAGCTAAGTTATTTAACATTCTAACTCTACAATTCTAAGTTACGGTAAGATCAATAATGTTTTTTAATAGATAATATATGGTAGCTAATTATAATGTATTCTCTTTCAGCCCTGAAGAAGCCAAATTATTTCTCTTTGGCGAAAACGTTCGGCGAAATAATTGATACTCATTAGAGTATTTCTTGCAGATTTCCCCAATATTTAAGAGTTTACTATTTAACTTATCTGCAAAGATTAAATTTCTTTTCTATATATATATATATTATATATATATATATATATATATATATATATATATATATATATATACAGATTGAACGAAATAAATTCGGAACATAGGAATATAATGTATTTCGGCTCAATTCTGCTGTAGGAGGTTGGCCAACAAAAGGTTGTCAAATAATTATATTATAAAAACCCAATACTTCTGCGATCTGCTGGATTCTGAACTCATAAAAATTGAAAGCTACACATAAATCTACGATTTTATTATGCTGTCAAACCAGTTATAGTCCAGGAAATGAATTATTTCACCTCGTAATTGTTTCGTGCTGCGTGGGTTGACTTGAAATTTAACAGAAGGTAGGTAATAGCCTAAGGATCAAAATCTATATCGAACCAAAGTGCGCCAAAGCCTAGGGGGTGGTTGCCACCCCATCTCCGGGGTGAAAATTTTTTTACGTTTTAACTACAGGTTTCGATTAAAAAAGTGATTCTAGACAAAAAATGTGCTGTACATTTTTTTTATAAAATGATATTTTTCAAGTTATCCGCGATTGAAAGTAACAACTTTTAGACGAAAAAATCCAAGTTTTTAATCGATTTTTCGCGAATAACTCGAAAATGGTGCATTTTATCAAAAAAATTGTAGAGAACAAATTTGTAGCTTTTAAAAAGACAAATACAATTCATTTTTTAAAATGTTTTTGCGATATAATAGGAACCGAAATTCGGCCTATCAATGTTCAGCGGTTTTCTTCAAATGCCAAATTTGAAAGATTCAAAGGCAGATATCGGGAAAATGATGCATTTTTGGAAGACAACTCACAAAACCTTTTTTAAAGCATAAATAGACCTATCATAAAAAAAAACTCAAAAATTGAGTGAGTTATGATAAAAATAAGGTCAATACCTCATTTTTTACGAAAAAAATCGATGAAAACAACCCCCTAACCACCCTCATAATTAAAATCGATCTTCACCCTTCTGCAATTCCCTCTGTACATGTATTGTTAATACGTCCAAAAAGTTTGACCCATTTAAAATGCTTAGTTTTAGAAAAAGTACAGCTTAAAGCGAGAAACGATTTACAATTTCATATTTTTTACCCTCCTTTTTTTAAATATGCCCGAAAATACTGAATATATGAAGGAAATAAAAATTACCAAATTGTAGCTTTTTTAATGACTAAAATTATCCTTTATTTAGATTTGTTGTACAATGAATATTTGGCGAGATATAGCCGTTTAAAGCATCGATTTACGATCAAGCACCATCTTTTTCGAGCCCTTTAAACTAACCCCATTTAAAAACCAAGGGTTCCAAAAAGATTTAATTCACAGATCCTTGTAGCTCTTAAAAACCTCTACAAATCGTTTTTGAAGAAACACTCTATCGTTAAAAATTAAAGAAAATACGTTAAAAAAACCAGTTAATTTTTTTCCGGAAAATTCCATTAGTATAGTACAGTACATTTCGGAGCATAATAATCTACAAAACCGGTATATTAGCTAGTGGAGCGTTATACATTCGAAATTTTAAGCGTTCTTATTTTGAAATCCCATACAACAGAATAAAACATCTGCTCATATGTCTATGGCTTGGCAATGAAAATATCAGAGCAACAGATTGGGGATGGTATTCCAAAGATGGGTATATTATTACCCGTACGCATGAACAAACAACCTGCACCCGATGAACTTTTGAAAATTATTTTTTGCCAATGCAAAAAAGGATGCGGCGTTTCATGTGCGTGCAGAAAAGTTGGTTTATACTGTAACTCTACTTGTTCTGGGTGCTCAGGTGAAGGGTGCAATAACAGTCCACCAATAATTGAAGAAGATGAGGATGACATAGATCACGATGAAGATGTAATTGATGACGAATAAAATTAATATTATAATTGTTTTACCTATAAATGTAAATTTTTTCAACTACTTATGTAAATGTATAAGAATAATTATGGGGCCTTTTTATGTTGATAAATTTTTTTGTATTTAATTCTACTTTTTTCAATTTATATCTTATAAATTAGTTTATAAAAACTGCATTGTTGTAAAGGGTGATTTTCAAAAGTTGAAAAGTTTCAAAATTTTGGCAAAAAAATTGTTTTCACCTATAGCACTCATAACAATTGATTTTTAAGGGTTGAAAATGTATGAATTTGTATTTTAAAGTATAAAAAAATCACTATTTAACTAATCCAAACCAAATTTCACTCATCTTAAGATTTGTAATATTATTTTACAATTTTTG